TCCGCGCCCGCTGCGCCGGGAGACTCCGCCCAGAAGCCCCCGCCTGCGGTACGTCGCCGCCTCGGGCCCTGCCTGCAGCGCTCCTGCTTGGTGCTCGCTTGGCCTGCGCATGGCTCTAGCTCCGGGCTGCAGACTCGCCTTGTTTTAAATTGCAGGAATGTGATCTGCGTGCGACCAGAGTCATATATTTCTTAAAAATTGTAATGCATCGGGGTGACATTGGTTCATGGGATTATATGGGTTTCAAGAGCGCGGTTCTGCGCTGCGTCGTCTGTATGTTGCATGGTGTGCATGATTGTATTTCAAAGACTTTTCTGTTGTGACCTTTTTAAGCATCGCTCTTGACAATTTAGTAAAGAACGGATATTTTTATTTATTTTTATCTTTGGAAAGGCAGACATTGCGCTTGCCCTGTTTTACTGCTTTCCAGAAATTGTATTATCCACCTTTCTGGTATTTGGCTGACTCATGGATGTCCATTGTTTGGGGCTCAACCTTCGACCCCTGTCTGACATAGTTCCTTGGGAACAGGCTGCTGCGTGCTCTGGGGAGTGGGAGTCCTCCATCTGTGTTGAACAGAGATTTCCTCCCATAAAACCAAGAGACACAAAAGCAACATCGGGGTAGGAACAATTCAAGGCTCCAGGGAGCGCCCTGGGACCTATTTAGGGCCTTTAATGTGGAGGCCACTAATGCCAGCAGGGTCCTGTTGAAAGACACACGTTCTCTTGTCCAGGAAGCAGCCTCAGGGGGAGCATCCCTGAGACTCGATACTGTTTGTCTGCTACGCAAGTAATGCAATCTTTGATTTAATGGCCTATGAACTCTTCTGGAGGGACCATTTGTTCTGGGTTTATGATAATGTGAGCAACGAACAGAGAGGAAACATTGTTATTTTATGGATGTTTTTACTCCAAAGTGTATGTCTGCAGTCAGGGGCTCTGGGGTCGTAACTTTATAGACAGAATCTAAAGGTCAGATCTCAGTAAAAAAAGTGACCCCTCCCATCTTCACTCCTATTAGACCATTCACCTTAATTTTACTTCATGTAGAGCAATCCATGCTCCCTGCAGACGACATAAACTGTAGCATTTACGTAGCAATATGATACCCGAATTTAAAGGAAACTGGAGGGGCTTTTTTTTTTAAAAAAACACACAAATAGAATTGATGAGCCTTACTGCTTACTGGTTTCTCTCTCTCTCTCTCTCTCTCTCTCTCTCACTTGCTCACTCTTTGTTAATTTTCATTGATTTTTAGAGAGAGTGGAAGGGAGGGAGAGAAAAACATTGATGTGAGAGAGACACATTGATTGGTTGCCTCCCATAGGCCCCCAACCAGGGTCAGGGATCAAACCTGCAACCCAGGTATGTGCCCTTGACCTGGAATTGAGCCCATGACCTTTCTGTGCGAGGGCCAATGCTCTACCCACTGAGCAACACCAGTCAGGGCTGGTTTTTCTTTCTTTTAATGATAATTGTGTTTTGCTCTTACAAATAGAAGACTCGAATTTTTCATAAGGTTGCCAGTTTATCGGCCACACATAAGAAGAAACCGCTGAAAAGGCAGATTAGCGTCCCTATGAGTGGTTTGACCTATTTATACAACTTACTGCTTGGTTCTGGATCAGGAGTCAGGAGGGAATCCCCCAGGAGGGATTCTGAATGTAGAGTGAGAATAGTCATCTGGACAGGTGGACATGGGGAATCTGGTTTGTGACTCTCCACATAGAAAAGTGACTGCTCGCATTAGTTTTGTGGATTCACTCCAGGGGACAGAACCTGAACTAAGACCCAGTGCCCATGCTGTTGAGAGCTGCAGTGAGAACATCCATGGACAGTTCCTATATCCACACTCGACAATACAGACACCAGAATATATCAGCCATGATATTAATATCTCAATGGGTTCTCACCTCTCAGTTTCAAAATTTCATATCAAGACTCTGGTTACTATTTTACAGATCGGAAATCTGAAGCACAGCCAGGTTAAGACACTTGCCCAAAGCCACACAGACAATGGCAGGACTGGAAAATCAACCCAGGCAGTCAGACTCCACAAGTCTCATTCCTCAATATGGAAGCCCAATGCCAATGACAGGTAAGTAGAAAAAAAAAAATCTGGAATTTTAAATGTTTTATCTGCTTCCCTCCCTCAGCAGCACATTCTTTGACCACCACATTGAAAAATGGCCTCGGTACCTCACCTGTGGCCTGGTGACAACAACTTTCCTAATAATCTCTCTATAGGGGGTGGCCTCAAGCTGTGGCCTATGGTAGCAAATGGCAGCCCACAAAATCAAAGAACCTATTATATGGTGTCTACTGAAATGCCAAAATTTTATTAATTTTTTTTATCGATTTGAAAGGGAGAGGCAGAGAGGGAGAGAGAGACATTGATTTGCTGTTCCACTTATTTATGCATTCATTGGTTGATTCTTATACATGCTCTGACAGGGGATCAAACGGGCAACCTTTTTGGTGTATGGGGCAATGTTCAACCAACTGAGTCACCTGGCCAGGCATGATTAGCTTTTTACAAATTAAGAATATTACATGGGTCCTGGCCGGTTTGGTTCAGTGGTTAGAGCGCCGACCTTTGGACTGAAGGGTCTCAGGTTCGATTCTGGCCAGGGGCATGTACTTCAGATGCAAGCTGGGCCCCAGTCGGGGCACGTGTAGGAAGCAACCAATCGATGTGTGTGTGTGTCTCTCTCTCCCTTCCACTCTGAAAAGCAGTGGAAAAAATATCCTTGGGTAAGGATTTGAAAAAAAAAAAAAAAAAGAATATTAAATGGGAGCAGAGCCACTGAGCAAGATGTACAATTAAAAAGTGATATTATAATGGGGAAGGGAGAAGCAGAACCCAGCTCAGTGTGTTTTATTAATCCAAGGGAAAAGTATCTAAGAACAACCTGAGTTTTCAGGAGTCAGTTTCTAAATGGAGATAATGGCTGAATGAGTTATTAGAACACTGTATCAGTTTGCTGGGGCTGCCATAACAAAATACCACAGGTTGGGTAATTTAGAAAACAGAAACTTATTTCCCCACAATGCTGGAGGCTGGAAGCCCAGGATGAAGGTGTTGACAGTTTGGTTACTTCCGAGTCCTTTCCTCTGGCTCCCAGACCACCTGCCCTGTGTCCCCATGGTGTCCCCATGTGGTCTTTCCTCCCTGTGTTATCTTCCCTGAAGTCTCTGTGTGACCAAATTTTCCCTTCTTGTAAGAACACGTCAGGTTGGATTAGGACCCACCCTACTGGCCTCATTTTTTTAAAAAAATCTTTTTATTCATTTTTTTAGAAAGAGAGGGAGAGAAAGAGAATCATCGATGTGAGAAACATCTATCAGTTGCCTCCTGTATGTGCCCTGCCTGGGGATCGAACCCCAAATCTCTTGTTGTATGGATGTTGCTCCAAGTTACTCGGCCAGGTCCCTAATGGCCTCATTTTAACTTAATCGCCCCTCTAAAGGCCCTATCTCAAAATGCACTCACCTTCTAAAGTATGGGGTTAAGGCTTCAACCCATGAATTTTGGGCAGACACAGCACATAACAAGCACAAATATTGATTTCAAGGCTACAGAAACAATGGGACGACCACTAAGAGGTAAAGGTGTTCAAAGGTAACAAGGCAAGAAGAATGACCTGTTCATAAAACAGGAGTGGAAACTGGGGCAAGAGATATGTTTGAGTGTGCAGGTAGCACTTTAGGTAGGAGGTGTCAATTTAAAATCTCTACTATGAAGGATAATCATATTTAATATTTTGGGGGCACTACTAATATAAAGAAGGAAAGAACAAAAATAAGGAAATTGATGTGATAATTTAATTTTAAGTTTGTTTTTTTAAGGTGACATTCAACATTTTCCAGTAGACAGTTCAATGTATTTCAACAAATGCATCCATTCATGTGAGCATAACCATAATTAAGATTCAGAACATTTTTCATCACCCCCAAAATTTCTGTTGTGCCCGTTTTTAATTTATCCCTATGGGTATCATATTTTCGATGCTGTTGTAAAATATAGGGCGTCCCCAAAAATGTATACACACGCTTTTAATAATTATAAAGGCAGTGTTTATTAAAACACATTTCCTTTTTAAAATTGAGCTACCAGCTGTTAAAGTGTGTATACATTTTTGGGGACACTCTGTATTTTTTTAACTTCTATATCCAATTATTCATTATTGGCATATATGAAGACACATTCATGTTTGAAAACTAAAAAAAGTTGAGTGGCAGCTTTATGGCATGTGAGGGTTGTTACATGTTAGGTTGGATAAGTGAACAAGAGAGAAAGTTTCTCCTTTACTGGAGACGTCATCAAGTACAGATTTAATCAGCAACGGGAACCAGACTAGACGTGCAGGAGGGAGGAACGTGTATTAGTTTGTTGCAATACACAGGACGTGCTGGCACACAGCTGGGATTTAAATGGTCACTGAAGGTGTCCTGGAGGAAGCAGTTTATGATTAAGTACATGAAGAAGCAGCAGAAGGCATGGAAATTAGGGCGAAGGAAGACAGAAGGGGGACTTGTGCTCGTGGAGGGAAGTCAACATTGTCACATGGCAAGTAGAGGTTTCAGAGCACCTGGGGAGAGCTGGAAACACATGCCTGGGCTAGACTTTTGTAGGACTTTATTGCATGTTAATGTGTTTGGATTTTATAGTTTTTTATGCTTTATCAGGGTCTGCTTGCTAGGAACGCAGCTGGTGTAACTAAGATGAGAATTTGGGAGTGGTGTAAATTTCAAGGGGGAAAAATAAGGTGTCTAAAGCCGGAGTCTGCGGAGGAAAACGGAGAGTGTGGGGCGGGGACTCGAGAGAGAAACCAACAGAAAGTTCACGGTCGTCAGGGAACAGCCTCGTGCTGCTCGAGTCAGACCGTGGACGCGCTTCCTAGAAAGAGGCGACTCAGCCCCAGACGCAGGTTACCTTCTGGTCTCACACTCACCTGTTCAAATGCCCTGAGCACGTGCCACGCAGCTTTGGGGCGACAGGGACCCCGGGCTCACAGCGCCATCTAGCGCCGGGAGGAGCGGGAGGCCAGCGACGAGCGGAGTAAAAAGTTCAGGGGAAAAGGTGGGATCCAGGAGCCGGAAATGCCTGTGTTCATTTGGCCAGGATTTTAAATACAGGGTGCCCCCCCAAATGTGTACACACTTTGCATAATTATTCACTCCAATGGGTTAAATCTGAAAAGAAAGGAACGTCACCTGAGCTATCGGTTAAGTGCGTATACATTTTTTTGCGACGCCCTATATATTTATTTCAAAAGTGACACGTGATGCATCGCTGCCGGGGGTGATTCCCAGTTATTCTCAGTAAAGGCTCAGGGAGGCCGCCCAGCCCCGCGTCACTCGGGGTAACGGCGGGCGCGTCCGCTGCTTCGCCGACCAGTTCCGGTCACCAGCCGGGCGCGGGGCGCCGCCCCGAACACATGTGACCCGGACCCATTTGCTTGTGGAACTACTTCCGCCGCCTTCCACGGTCGCCCCGCCCTGCGCCCGCGCGCTGGGTAGAAACGCCGTCTCCCTCCGCGACCGCGTGTAGTTCAGGAGTCGGGTCTCCCGAAGGCCCCGCTGGGCTGCTGTGTGGAGCGACCGCAGCCCCACCCGCGGGCTGGCGCCGCTGTGCTGGGCCCCGCTGCTGGGCCGCGCCCCTGACCCCGCGGGCTCCACCCCGG